CAGCCCTTTTCAGTTTTTATTGCAAAACAGGGTCTCACTAAACTGCCTGTGGAAGGAATTTGAGATCCTCCTGCCTCAGCCTTGCACAATGCTGGGATTACAGGCGTCCACCGCCACGCCCTGCTTTAGTACGGGTTTTGTCTCTCCAGGAGGAATCCTTACAGTTCAGCGGCACTTCATTCCTGCAAGACCATCCATCCAGCTAGGGGTGGGCTCGAGGTGCAGCATCAGCCCCACCAGGGGCCACGGCTCCCCCTTGAGGAGGGGGGCCCCTCAGGCTCTGCTCTCGGTGGCATCTGAAGGCAAGTTTAGGGAATGACTCAGACTACTAGGCTTTGCTGGCAACTCTTTTTCCCTGCAAATCCAGAAGCTCTCCGCGGTCACTGTCTCGGGGTCCTTGGCCTTGAACACAGGGCTGGCAAACCTGTGTGAGAGACACCCTGAGTGAGAAACAAGGCCGCCATCTGGCCTGAGCTTTTATTCTCAGGTAGAAAGGGAGACGGGGAGGAGAAGAGGGAGGAGGAGGAGAACAAGAGGAGGAAGAGACGAAGGAGAAGAAGGTGAGGAGGAGGAAGGGGGCGGGGGGAGGAGGCCAAATCTCACCGCCTCTCCTTGCAGGCCCAGCCCCTAGGCCCCGAAGTCTTGAGCTCATGAAATCAGCCGAGCACAAGGCTGTGGACCACCCTCAGAGTCCTCTGGTTAACTCACTGTTTCAGGGCCTGGTCTTGGAGGCGAGGCCAGAGCCCTAAGGACACAGAAGCCTTCTGTGTCCTTCCCAGGGCCTCTGGCCGCGCTCTTCGAGGAGTGAAGGGCCAGAGGAGGCACAAGGGTGTCACCTGATTGTTCAGGGCCTGCTTCTGGTGGATGAGCCATGAAATGAAACACATCTCTACTGCAAACAAGTATTTCTTAAAAATTAACATGGTATAGCTGGTGCTTAAAATGCATTCCTACAGGGCCGGAGATTTAGCTCAGTGGTGCCACCGCCTGCCTCGAAAGCACAAGGATCCAAGTTCGATCCCCGGTACCCAAAAAAAAAATGTATTCCCACAATAGTGAAGTGATAGTCAAGTAATGCTCTTCTTTTTGCACACAAAAGCTTTACATTTTCAAGATAATGACTTTTAAAAAGATAACTAAAGCTCAATGCTTTACAAAAAATCAAATGTGTCATTTCAATTGGCAGCTACCAATTAATGCATGCTTGCTCGATAATGTTAGGTGAAGCTCATTTTTACTAGCAGTTTTATTTACTTATTTATTTAGCTTTAAAATTTTATTTTATTGGTACATTTTAGGTGTACAATATAATGACATTCATCATTGGAAATTGGCACCTTCACATAATCTCTCTTGGTTCTTATTTTCCCCCCTTCCCCTGCCCTCCCTTCAACCCTTCCATCCCTCTCTATTTACAAAGGCTTTGTTTCCTTTTTTCATTTTCTCATATTTACTAGCAGTTTTTCTAAAGATGAGTTTTAATCTGTTGGGCATGGTGGTGCGCATCTGTCTGCATTCAAGAAGCTGAAGCAGGAGGATCACCAGGAGTTCAAGACTACCCTGAGAATAGCGAGTTCAAGACAGCCTGGGCCACACAGTGAGACTCTGTCTTAGAAAAAAATGAGTTTGAATCTACCTTGGATTTGGCAAAATTTATGAGTTTTGACAAATAAAACAAGGGCTTAGTCATCAATACAGTCAACCATGAAGATGTAGACTAGTTCCTTTGGCCCCTAAATTCCCCCCACACTTTTTTTGGTCAAGTCCTTCCCCAATCCCGAGCCCTGGTCACCACTGTGCAGTATTCTGTTCTTTTCTTGACAAACTTAAAAAAATTTTGCAACGATTATGGGCTCACAGGAAATCGCACAGCAGTACCGAGAGTCCGGGTGCTCCCTGGCCTGTTTCCCCCGCAGTGGCATCTCAGACAACGGCGTGCAAGCGGGTGGGAAGTGTGCAGCCCAGCGGTCCTTGCCCCCGGGCCTGATCTGACGGCTTTCCCAGCCAGTTTAACTCTGGTGTGTGGGGCTTCAGGCTTGTCACCCCTTCCCATCCAGACGCGGGAGCAGCAGGGTGTCCGGCACGCCTGTCCTTGACCCTCGGGGCGCGCCTCAGTTTCTTGGTAGCTGCCGACCCACCGCGCAGAGCCCCACGTGTGGGTTGACTGTCGTGCACTCTTTTGCATTATTTAGTCCCAATCGTGGGTCACAAGTTTAAGTCTTCTATGAACCCGGTAACAGGTGAAGGACAGCCCAATAAAGTGTGACGCTCTTAGGCACTTTCACAAATTATTATATTACTATAATAATGCAGTACTGGTCACTGGACCCGGGGCCTTCTAACTGGGCAACATACCCACCACTCTGTTTTATTTTTTAATTTGAGACAAGTCTTGCTAAGTTGACAAGTGGCCCAGGCTGGGCTCCAAGTTGCAACCCTTCTGCCTCAGCCTCCCAGAGTGCTGGGATCACAGGCGGGCCCTCCACGCCCAGCATGTAACTGCAATTTCTAATCAGGTTCCGATGGGGAAGAACTCGCTGGGCACTGCGGCTGCCAGCACCAGTGGTGAGTGCCGGCGTGGGCGTGGCCGGCGGCACAGGGGGCGGGGCACGAGCGGAGCCCAGCCCAGCGGGGCCGTGACGTCACCCGTCTGCGCCAGGCGGGCGGCAGGCGTCCCTGCGGTCCCCGCGCCCCTCAGCTCTGGGGCCTCAGGCCCTGCCGCCCGCCCGGCCCCACCCCGCCCCGCCCCGCGGCCTGTGGCGGTCGGCGTGCGGAGGGGGTGAGTACTGCTTCCGCGGCGGCCCGGCGCCCGGTCCGGTCCGCGCCCGGACCGTGGGACTCTTCAGCCGAGCCACGCGGAGGGTCCGGGCCTGCGGCCGAGTCGCGGCGCCTCCTCGGTCCCTTCCTCGGCGGAGCGCGGCCCCGTCCAGTCCCGCCCCGCCCCGTCCTGACCCGTCCGTCCCGCCCCGTCCGTCCGTCCCGCCCCGCCCCGACCGTCCGACCGTCCGTCCGTCAGGCACCGATCCCGAGCGCGCTGACCCCGGCGGCGGACGCCAGGCCGCTGGCCCGGGAGCGTCACTGCGTGCGGACCGGCCGGGAGATTTCTGCCGGAGCGGAAGATACTCCTAACGATCGTGTGTGACCATTCGATGGGGATTTAATTTTGCTGTGAACGAGACACCACTTGGCTTTTAAAGTTTGTATCACTCCACGTCTGCAGAACACACTGGCCACACTCCTGGAGGGGCGGGGTGTGTGTTCGGGACACACCTGCCTTCTTTCCAGGCCCTTCCTCTCCTTCCCTCCATCGCTCGGTCCCCTGCCCGTTTGCAACTGTCTCCTTGTTTGCTGCCACCTTTTATTTCGCCCTTATTTCATACTTTGGGTTTCTCGCGTAAGAGAAGCCAAGCAGTGTTTAAGTTTGCGCCTCTGATTTATTTCACTTAACATTTTATGGTCTCGAGGACCGTTTTGTGTCCTAAACGTCTCAATCTCGGCACTCTTCTTCCCTTCCGAGTCTGGGGCTCTGTGTGTTGCTTGGGCTGGCCTCCAGCTTCGGGGCTCCCTGGATCCTCCTGCCTCTGCCTCCCTAGCGGCTGGCTGGGACTGTAGGATTGAGCTACCATAGACTCTAGGCGCCAGCATTCTTTCTTCAGTTGTTTGTACTCAGTTCTTCCAGTGCATTCCAGCAGTTTACTGCTCTGCTGACTCTGAAGCAGAATCCCTCCCTGCTGCTTTCGAAGGACCACACAGCCACAAGGGGAAAGAAACGTTAGAAAATGAAAACCGTAACTGAAAGATAAAACTCGAGTATTGAGAAACCGAAATCAGTTTTGAACAGTACAGTGTAAAAGTTGTTAATTTTGAGGGAAAGGGGTTACTGGGAATTGGATTCAGGGCCTTGGCACTGAGCTACATCCCCAGCCATTTTATTTTGTTTTACACTACAGAACTGAGGACTGAACCCAAGTCCTTCATGTTGAGTGGCACCCCCAGCCCATTCATTGTTTCTAAATGTGTGTGTGTGTGTGTGTGTGTGTGTGTGTGTGAGACAGGGTCTCACTATGTAGCCCAGGCTGACCTTGAACTCATGGTGATCCTTCTGGCTAAGCCTCCTAAGTACTGGGATTATAGGCGTATACCACCACACCCAGTTTATTTCAAATTTTGAGACGGGCTCTCTAAATCACTAAATTGCCCAGGCTGGGCTTGAATTTGGATCCTCCTGCCTCAGCCTCCCAGAGTTCTGGGGTTACAGGCCCCCATCAGCAACCTGGCATCCTTGCCCACTGTTCTTAATGGACTCTTCAACTTTTAAGAATATTTGTAAACTGCTTGCTCCTTGCTCTACAGATTTTCTTGTAACCCTCAGTCTTTCCCGCCTACTCTGTGTGTTCCAACCTAGGGTCGCTTCGCTGCTGCCCAGCACCCCTTCTGTCCCAGCCCTTCCTTTCGACTTCCTCTTACAATCAGGCATTAGCTGAGGTCAGCCCTGTGGGTACGGGCTCTGGTCTCAGGTGCCCAAGGCCTGGGCACATTCTGTTCCTTAGCCTCTACTTCGGGGGCGTGGTCCGTGGAGTAGAGAAAGTCGAGGGCCATCCAGGGTCCCCAGGGGGCTGAGTCGCCCCTTTGTTGGCACCCAGTGAGCCTTACTCTGCTGTTTCCATTCTGTTTCAGTCCATACCAGTTCTTCAGACAGCACTTGTTCCGTTTATCACTGATTTTTACTGTCTTCTAGTTTCTAATCTTCATTTTGAAATTTTATACATTTGATTAAAAACTGTTGGAGGTGAAGACCATGATATATCTATATCTATATGAGATACCACTTAAAACTCGCCCAGGATAATATGGAGGCTATATATATTTCACCCCCCATCTTACTATCTAGTTTTCTATTACCCATTTTATCTCTGTTGTTTATAATTTTACATTTATACCTGGTTTTGTTTCAAAAGTATTTCAGGTAGCTTATAAACTAATAACATACAAAATAAAGGTAAAGCAGGGTCATGAAAATATGCTTTCCCATGATGAATGTAATCATCATATATTGCAAATGTGTATAGTAAAAATTTTTTTAAATGACGCTTGACTAGAAATATGAGGTTAGGATGAGTTAAACTGAAGTGTGTTCTGTGCAAGTTGTACAATTTCTTTTTTATACAATTGTTAAAAGTAGGTCACAAGCTGGGTGTGTTGGGATGTGCCTGTGATCCCAGCACTTGGAGGCTGAAGCAGGAGGATCACTGAAAGTTTGAGGCCAGCCTGGGCTACATAGTGAAGTCAAGATCAGCCTGAGCTTTATTGCAACGCCCTGTCTCAAAAAACCAAAACCAACCAAACAAACAAAAATCCCCAAAAGTTAGGCCACAGACTAAACTGAGTTTCAGGGTGGTTTGAAGAAAACATACCACTTGCTCTGCAAAGGAAACAAAACCCAGCTTCCTGTGTTAAAGGGATGAGGAATCCATTGCCTGCAGGCCCTAGCACCCCATGTAAACAAACCAGCACACTCAGCACAGAAGGCAAACCTAAACTCAGCCTCGCTCACTCTCACAGGGACTTCCCACTGGCTGCTCTACAGGATCACACTAAATTGCGTAGTGTGGCCTTGAACTTGTGATCCTCCTGCCTCACCCTCCTGAGTAGCTGGGATTAAATTATAATGGGTACGGTAAAGAGGCAGAGACGCATAGTATACATGAGCTTCCATTTTTATTTAGTGTCCTGGCCTGCCCCGATGGTGCTGACACAGCCTGTCTGACGTGGGGACCCTCCTGCGTCCTTGGCCTCTGGTGTGTGTAGGGGATGTGTGTGGCTCACGCTACTCCAGTTCTTCCTTTTGTATGCAAATAGGTTTTTCTACTTAGGTCTTTAGATTTTTTTTTATCCTTTGAATTAATGTATTCCACTAAGCTATAGGATTCTTTCCAGCAGTTTTCCCAAAACCATAATGAATCCTTTCGATTTACATGTAAATCTTTCCAAGCTCTGGAGCGGTTTTCTCTGTTGCACTGCTTCTGATTTCAGTTCAGAAGCGTCGTTCCCGGGGGTGGGGTCCGGGTTCTGTCCTTGCTGTCCACCACCAGCACTGTGTCCATGGTGACCCTCCGTCTCCTGTGTGTTTGGAAAGCATCTCGTGAGTGTTGTGACTCTCCCCAGCTTCCCTCCTGTCTGCTGCCTGTGCTGTAGCACTGAAAGCCCCTCCTGCTTGGCGTTCCATTTCCTTCCAGTTCTGCTGTTTCCCGTGTCCTCTCCAGCCGAAGACCTGTTTCCTGCTCACCTACTGCTTTCCGAGGTCTTGTTTTCTCCTTGGAACTGGGAAGGCAGCATCCTGCAGTTCCTCCCTGGGCCCCTCTCAGCTCATCGCAGAGGCAGCTTCCAGGTTCAGCTATATGGGTCCACTTGCTCTTACCCCGCAGCTTCCCAGGGGTCCTGTCTGTGACTGGCATTTTGGGGTCACCGCCCTGGACCTGGGGACTTGTGTGGGGCTGGCAGGTGGATACTGCACCACACCTGGGCCTGAGCTGGGTCCTGGCCCTCAGGAGAGAACTGCTTAAACTTTGTCTTGTACCTGCAGCTTGGGGAGTGTTTTTGTGTGGTTTGAAAGTTATAATCCGGCCCTTAGATGATTTAAAAAGTTTTCAACCACCTGTTCACCAGTGTTGTGATGTTCAGTTGTCTTGCTAGTAGCTCAGTGCTGTCAATTACACAAACTATGGCTATCAAGTAAAACTTCATGTTTCAACTAACATTTTTCAATAGTTAAGTAAATCTCAAGTAACTGGAGAGCTTGGGGAATGGCGTGTTTCTACTTGTTCTGTTTTGTTAGTAAGAGTTTACTTAGAATTTTAAAAGTCATGAATATAAATTCTTCCAGAGTCGAAGTCACATTTTCTTTGATTTAGTATCTGGAATGTATGTCATGATCATCGCGCCGTTGGAAACACTAGTTTTCCTTTTCCTGGTTAGTGCATGTTCGGAGGACGTCCCAGCTGGACACGTGGAGAGCACTCTCCCGAGGCTCGGTGCAGCCTCCCTCTCAGGGGAGGGAAGGAGCGCTCGCTGGCCTGCGCGCTCCCATGGACCGGACCGGACCGGACCGGACCGGGTGTGGGCCAGATTTCCCCTTGCTTGGCCCTCTGCTTGCTGTCCCGCAGGGCCTGGGTCGCAGTCCCCATACCCACCACCTCAATGGTCTGGAAGCTATTCTCCCCTCACCTTCACATACCAAGGCCTGTCTCTGTCTTGCCCTTTCTGTCTCCCCTGCCAGGCTTTGGCTGGTTTTGCACCACGGTGTCTCTTGCGGTCACTGTTCGAGCCTTTACCTGATCGCATCCAGCCAGGCAGGACCTCAGGCTCCACCGGAAGCTCGGGCTGGAGGCCCGTGTCCCGGTGCTGGTTCTCCTAGTGCGGTTCGTCCTGCCTCTGGGCTTCAATGGCCAGGGCTCCTCTTTCCTGCCACGTCTGCACACCCCGTACCTTCCTTCGCTCCCTCCGGCTGCTCAGTTTGCACCTGTTCTTCCTGTCAGCGGACGTCGGGTCACTTTCTCTCTCCCTCTTCAGCGCCTTTCAAACCTGTGTGTGAGCGGATCCCCTCCCGCCCCCGGAGGCTTGATCATCCTCCATGGGTGCCCTGCCACCGGCTTTCATCGTGCTTCTTGAGCCTGTGAAGATCACCGCTCTTCCGAGGGCCCTGTAATGTGACAGTGCAGGTTTCATACCTACTGTTTCTGTCCAGCGGTGGAGGCTGCTGGGTTCCTCTGCTCCTTCCGTCCTCCCTCCGGGACTGACCCAGGGGCTTGTGAATGCTGGGCAGACCTCGACCACTGAGCGAAATCTCCAGCCCTAGTGCTATCCGGACGGGGAATCCAAGCCACGCAGCTGCTAAACTCCGAGCTCCAGCTCTCCTCTCCTCAAGCTACACTGTACGTATACTCTCTCCCGTGGCCACGGCTGAGACCCCCATTCCATACTCATACATATCTTTCCACGTCCTTCCTGTCGCTGAAGATCGTGTATGTCTTCATCCCTCCGAGCTGCTATATTTTCCCAACCCTTTCAACCGTCTACCTGGTCTCTTCCTCTGCCACGTCAGCAGGGCCCCTGAGCTGTCCCACCAGCGTTTCTTCTTCCTCTTCCACCTCTGCATGGGAAGCAACCTCTGAAGACATCCCAGCCACTCCCTGTGCTCCGGGCCTCACTTCAGCCCACCCCTCCCTTTCTGTTCCTCAGACGCTGTCCCCACCACCGCCACCGCCCGCCGCCTCTGCCCCGCGCCTTGCCTGGCCCTGCGGGAAGATGTCCGGTGACGTCCTCTTCCTGTGCTTAGTGCTGCCTTCACAAGCCCCTCGCACTGACCCTGTGTCCTCAGGTGCCGGGCGTTTTCCATCCTTCCGAGCCGCTCTTCTGTGCTGACGTGCGTTGGGGTCTGTGGCCGTGCTCTGCGCCCCGAAACCCGCGTCACCGGTCCCTGGACACCGTGGGCGCCCCCCATTGCACCCCGTTGCTAGTTTCTTTGTTCCGTTCTTCGGTTGGTTCCTCTTCCTCCGCAGGCTCCTTAGATGCTGGAGTTCTGCAGGGTCCCCCGGCCTACTGCTCTTCTTGGCCCGCAAAGGAGCGCAAGCTTTGGGATAAGATCCCCTCAACAGCTGGTGAGAATTGTGAATGTAGATCGCATATGCGCACAAAATTCTGAGTAGTTCCATGAGCCGCAGGAAGCCATAGTAAGGATCTTTTGTATAGGAGCCCTTGCTGGATGGTCTTTGCTTTCGTGGTTTCAGTTGTCTTTCTTACGCAGATGACTTCCAAAGGCCCAAGCTGATCTGCCTCCTCCCCATAGCTTTTGGTGTGTGGTCTTCTCCCTCTCACTGCGTGGCATCACACCCTCAGGTCCACTCACCAGACCCCTCATAGCGTCCTCCTCTTCTGTGTGCTGTCGGGCTTGTGTCCCTTCCATCCATCCTCCTACAGCCCCATGATGCATTCTGACCTACCTCAGCTCTAAGCTTCAACGCCCATCTGTTTCTGCTTCCCTGGTGAGGGTGGACAGGTGTAACTGAGTGCGGTTTGACTGCCTCTCCCTCTCTCCCTGCCTTCTGCACATCTTGTTTCAGTGGCACCAAACTCCGCCTCCTTTGTCCCTTGATGCCCTTTATTCATGCTGTCCTCCCACTTGGACTCCACTGCAGCCCCTGTGCTGTATCTCCTGACAGTCTGTCATGTGAAACCAAACACTCAGCCAGGCGTGGTGGCACACACCTATCATCCCAGCTACTCAGGAGGCTGTGGCAGGAGGATTGCAAGTTGGAGGCCAGGCTGGGTGATTTAGAGAGACTTGTCTCAAAATAAAATAGAAAAACTGAGGGAGGAAGCTTAATGGTAGTGCTTTGTGTGAACCCCGGGGTTCAATCCCTAGTACCATCAAAACACACAAAAAATGAAACAAACAAAACCCCTGAAGAACTCCCTACCCCACCTCTTGTATGGTCTCGCAGCCCTGTGTCCAAGGCCAGCGCCTCAAACTTGAGAGCTGAGCAGTTGATTGAAAGGGCTGATTAAATCTTGCAGTAATGATTTCGTCCATACTGGAAGGGTTTTAATTCTTCTTAAAATACACACACCTTTGCCAAGATTCAAATGTGTGACTCAGGCATTTTCTTTTCATATCAGTGCTTGATGAAAATTCACCGTTCATTCTTGGTTAACGGATCCCAGAATGCACCACCCAGAGCCCCAGTTGTGGTTTCAGTGAAAGAACCCAATTGCCCCTCGCCCACAGTCTGAGAGTGGAATCTGATGTGGTGAACCCCCTTACCCGTCTTTCCAGTTGCATCATCCATGCCCAGCTCCATCCTTAACTGTGTTTCTCTGTGTTTCTCTTAGATGCTCATCTCTAGCCAGTCATCCCAAGCCAAGCATAGACATAACCACTGTCTTTTTAAGTGCTACTTTCCTGTTTGCTCTGTCTGCTGTTTAAGTGAAGTAGTCGTCTGAGGTGTAGGAGATGGTCTGTGGGCACACGCAGCCTGGGAGCTGGGGAATCCCTGCTGTGTGGCTGCACAAGGGCCAGGTGACCCCAGGTGACTGGCATGCTGGTGAGCGTAGGCTGCACAGGTGCGTGCCTGCTGGCATCATTTTTGCTGCTTACCTCCTGTGTCAGAACATGAACTCTTACAAGGCAAAGACTACACACGCTTTTTATTTTCCTATGTCTGTCCTTCACCTCTGCACAGTGCCTGCTATTTAACCATATTTGGTGTGTGTGGTGGATGAGTGAATGTGTTCTTATGTAGGTCATGCTAAATTTGCATAATCAGAACATCCCTGGTTAGGGAGGAAGCTCCTATAGGCAAATCACTGGCCCTGGAGCCAAGCAAGGGTTGGGATCCATTCTCATTTGAATTATTTACTTATTTGCAGTGTTGGGGATTGAACCCAGGGCTTCTCGCCTGTTAGACAAGCACTGTGCCACTGAGCCACACCTCCAATCCCTTCGTTTGTATTTTTTTCATTTATTTATTTTTTATTAGTCCATGTTTGCAGTACATATGACTACATCCACCACGGAGTGGGGGGGGTACATGTGCATAACACCCCTTCATTCTTTACTCTCTTCATCCCCTCCCGCCCTGCTCCCTCTAGCTCTGGTCCCCTTCCTACTTGCTAAGCCTCTATTTCCATGTTGTTGTTTTTTCAACTCTTTTTTTCTATCCCCTTTCACTCCCCTCCCACCAACTCTTGTTCACCTTCCCATTTGAAGATCTCCCTACTTCCTATTATCTGTTTTTTATTTATCTTTTTATTTATATTTTGGGTTTCTCATATAAAAGGAACCACATGGTATCTAAGCTTGCATGTCTGATTTATTTCCCTTAATATTGTGGTCTCAAAGTGCATCCGTTTTCGTACAGATGACTCAAGTTTATCCTTCGTTAATGGCAGAGTAGTGCTGCATTGTGTGTAAATACCACATTTTCTTTATCCATTCATCTGTTGATGGACATATAGGCTGCTTCCAAGATTTAGCTATAATTAGTTGTGCTGCTATAAACATGGGTGTGCATGGATCACTGTAATATGATGTCTTTAACTCTTTTGGGAAGATGATACCTAGAAGGGGAGTAGCTAGGTCAAGTGGAATTTCTATTTTTAGTTTCTTGAGATATCTCCTCACTGATTTCCACAGTGGTTGTACATAGTTTGCACTCCCACCTACAGTGAAGAAGGGTTCCTTTTCCCCCACAGTCTCGCCAGCTTTTGTTGTTATTTGATTTCTTGATGATGGCCTTCTTTCTGGGGTAAGCTGGAATCTCAGTGTTGTTTTAGTTTGCATCTCTCTAATGGCCCGTGATGTTGAACAAATGTCATGTAATTATTGGCCATTTATACTTCTGAGAAGTGTCTGTTCATTTCACTTGCCTGGTTTCCGATCATGGCTTGCTTCTGCCTTTACATCTGAGGAATGGGGATAACAGCAAACTTCAGGTTGTGGAAGGATAATGAGAACATGAAATCTGCAACATAATATTTGACATAATAAGCCACAGTTATGGCAATGCTGGTGACCCATGAAGACAGGAGAATTCACTGTGCCTGGCCTCTCTCCCTGGGAGCTCTGAACTATACAGTCTGTGTGTTTCCTCATGCTGTAAAATTCTCTTTTTCTAAACAGTGTTTCACATTTTGGATGGATGGATTGATTGATTGATACTGGGGATTGAACCTAAGGCCTTTGCACTAAGCTGCATCCCTGGTCCATTTTTATTTTTAAGTTTGAGACAGAGTCTCACCAAGTTGCCCATGCTGGGATCTAACTTGCAGTCCACCTGCCTCAGCTTCCACCAGTGCTGGGATTACAGGTGTGTGCCCCCATACCCAGCTTGAAAGGTTTCATATGACAAATATGTGGTATATCTTGATAGGTTACATTTGGAGATTTGACGAAGAAAATTAGGTGATCATAATTTTACACCTTGAAAAACAATTTCAAGCTTCAGAACATCATTTGTTACTGAGCCGAACCTACTAGGCGTGAAGAACACCTCACCTCCAGGAGTCCCTGATACACTGTCAATATAGGAGCTGAGCCAGGAGGGGGAGAAGGAAGTTCTAAGGAGGCTGTTTGGAAGGATTATCGTAGAAGTGGTATAAAAGTTAAACTCTTCAAACAAGATATGGGCAAACTAAACATCTTACTAAATATAGGTCCTACTAAAATACAGCTGTAAGGATTTAACCATTTTCAGCATCACCCTTACCATTACAGGCATAGACTGGGGCTAGGGTGTAGCCCAGTGGCAGAGTGCATATTTGAAATGAGGCCTTGGGTTTGATCACTAGCATCAAAACCAAAACAAAAACACTCACAGATGAGTATTTCTTAAAGATCTGGGTTTTGGGCTTTCATGTTGACTGATAAAAAAAAAAAAAATAAGGGGTAGGTTTGAAACACGGAAGCAGAACATAGTTTGGAATGGCCCTGAGGTTATTTCCCATTTTACAACCCAAACTTCGATTTGTTTAAAGAAGTAAGCCAATTAGCAGAATTGCTTTCAATATTTGTTCTAAAGCTGGTGTTAACACTCAGTTTTTATATTGCAGTTACCGTTCAACATGGAAGAAGATGAGTTCTTGGAAGAAAAAACATTCCAGCATTATTGTGCAGAATTCATTAAACATTCACAACAGATAGGCGATGGTTGGGAATGGAAAACATCAAAGGTAAAAAAAAATTTTTTATTTTCTTTTTCAGTGGAGAGTTATTTATTTTTGCCATATAAAATGCCAGTAATTGAAACTAAGGTATAAAGGCTAGGTTGATTTAATAAAAGGCCTAAATTGAAGGATGCTTTAAAACAGATGTCCGTTTTATGATTTCAGCTATGTAACTCATTATTATTAGGCTAATGAAGTATTATCTGGAAAAGTCCTTAGGTGAGCTGCTTTAATTTAATAGATAAGAATGCTCAGCATATCAGTTATTTGAGTATAAACAGACACTTCTCTGGTGCTTTCAACCATTTGTTTATGTGATAGATTTTCTTAAGAAACTACTTTTTGTTCAGAAAGTAAAAGAATACTGAAACAAAACCATAGTCAAAGTCACAGATTCTGAAATATTAAGAACTTCAGTAATCAGAGATTTCTCGATAAAAATTCCCATACATTCCAAAACATTTTCCTTCTGATTGCATGCAGAAATAATGTAAAAGGCCTCTACATTCTTTCATTTGGATTTATACAGTTAGTCAAATTCTCTGCTAAAAGATTTGAAATCTCTTCCTTAAAGACCAAATTTTCTCACTTGACAGTCTGTCGGATTCTTGAAAAGCAAGGAATCCTGATTTTCTGTGGTGTGAGCCTGTGTCCTGTAGGCACTTGAAGAAACTCAAAGAGTTTGGAGCCGATTCCCAGGGTTCAGAAGTGAGCCAGGGAAGTGCAGGTCTTGATAGGGTTGGTGCATCACCTGGGAGAAGCCGGTTTGTCAGTTTGTCGTAAGCCCAGCCCTGTACGGGGACCTTGGACAGTGTGGCTGGGGACAGCTGAGAGGTGCAGGGCCCTCTCTCGGGGAAGGGGCAGCTCCTCCCTTGAGCAGTGACTGGACACTGGATGCTCTCTGGGGCATGTCTCGTCCCGGGCCATGTGACCTTGTTGGCACTTTTCTTAATTTCATTCCTGGGTATTTTATAATTTTGCTTACCATCGTCTTTAAATTTCAATTCATCCTTTTTCCTCTATGGTTATGGATAATATACAAAGGAGCTGTTAATTTTTGTGCCTTAATTTTATAAACATTCAATCACCATACTGAATTTTCCTTCTAGCTTTCAGAGTTTCTTAGTCATTTCAGTTTTCAAGTGGAGTGAGGTCATTTGTAGGTGAAGAGTTTTTGTAGTTGTTATTGGCCTCTTTGTGATAATTCTGTTACTTTATACATTGCTTAGAAAAATGTTCTGGACAAATGTGCTGTGAACTGAGAAAGTTCTACTTATTGCACAACCATCTGAAAGTGAAGTATGGTGCAGGCTGGGCATGCAGCTGGGTGGACGGCCTGTCCACCATGCACAGGGCCCTGGGCTCGATCCCTGGTGCCACAAAACCACACCACGCCACGCCATACCATGCAACACAACACCGCACCAGACCGCACCATGCCACACCATGCTACACCACATCACCCAACCCCACACCAAACGTCAGTGCTTCAGATCCACTTACCATCTAGAATGTTCCTTTTGTTTTGTTTTTGTTTTTCAGTTCAGGCTCTCAGTTCTATGTTAATGCCTCTCATAGATTATTGATAAAATATCTTATAATATGTTTTCAAGCTCTTCCTTTCACTTCCCTTTAGAAGAAATGGAGAAAACATTCAAGATACTAAAAGCAAAATATCCTACTTTCTTGAGATTTGATTTTAAACAATACTAGATCATTTAGAATGTTATTGTTTTTTGCAACTTATTCTTAAAGAAGACTGAAAGAGCCTCCCCGCTCTATTAATTCCTTGCCTCTTTAGTTAAACTTACTTGAATATATATTGAAATATATAGCAACACATCAGAAATATTTTGATTACTTTCATTGTCACTTATAAAATGGATATGAAAATGACTTCTTTCCTAACTTATATAAAGTTTAAAATGTCATTTTATTATGTATAAATTTATACTGGTTTTATGATTCCTTTTTTCTAAGAGCCTTTCTGGATAATTCACATAGTTTTTTTAAAGTCTTTCAGCATTATGCTAAGTACATCAAGTTCATATTTTTAAAATAGATTCTCCATGGGCCGGGGATTTAGCTCAGCGGTTCTGCCGCCTGCCTTGTAACCACAAGGTCCTGAGTTCCATCCCCGGTATCAAAAAAAAAAAAAAAAATCCTACATTATCTCCATGTTTGACTCTGTCTTTCAGTGCTGTTTCAGTAGAACACCCACCGTGGCCCTTCCCATCATTCCTGCTGCCCTGATGAATTTCCTACCTGTTATCTTTATTTTTAATGTTTATTATGAAAAATTTCAAGCATACAGAAGGAAAGAGATTAGCATCATGAGTTCCCATGGCCCATCACCTAGCTCCATGATCTCAGCTCATGGACAGAAGTCTGGTGTCTGACAGCATCTGCGGCTCACAAGAAGGGACTAAGATATCTGGACTTCATTACCCTGGCCTTCTTTTTCTTACCCCTATGTCTTATAATTATGGGTTCTTCAAGTGAACTGCAAATTTATTAATCATCCTATATTAAAATAAATGAACATACTCAAGAAAAGCCCCTAGGGGCAAGAACTATTATTTCTGTAAATTTTTATTTATTTTTAAAATTGTGATAAAGTGCATATAGCATCATGTTTGCTGTCTTAGCCATTTTATGTGTACAGTTCTGCAGTGTTAAGTACATTCACAGTGTTGTGTAACCAACTCCAGAACTCTTGTGGCTCTCGGTAATCACCATCCTTCTAAAAAAAAATTTTAAAAATTAAAAACAAATAAAGAAGAAAAAAACCCCTCCACCGAAAGACTTCTAGATTTGATAACCAAATACATGGGCATAGCTGGATACAAAGTCAACACTCAAAAATCAATAGCCACCTGGTACACGAATAACAAACTCACAGAGAGAGAAATTAAGAGAAAAAAATCCCTTTCACAATATCATCCACAAAAATGAAATACCTAGGAATCAATCTAATGAAGGAAGTAAAAGACCTCTACATTGAAAACTACAACACTTTGAAAAAGGAGATCTAATAGGATATCAGAAAATGGAAAGATATCCCTTGTTCTTGGTTAGGAAGAACCAATATAGTGAAAATGGCCATACTTCCAAAATAGTTATACAGATTTAATGCAATCCCAATTGAAATTCCAACAGCATATCTCACAGAATTAGAAAAACCAATCCTAAAATTCATTTGGTTAGTGTCCCTCTGCCCCCAGTACTGGGAATCGAACTCAGGACCTTACATTTGCCAGGCAGGCGAGGTGCCACTGAGCTAAATTTCCATCCCCTAAAATTCATTTGGAACCAGAAGAGACCTAGAATAGCAAGGGAATTCTGGGCAACAAAGACAAGGCAGGGGGTATCACAATCCCTGACTTGAAATTATACTACAAAGCTACTATGATGAAAACAGCATGATACTGACAAAAGAACAGACTTGAGGATCAATGAAACAGACTAGAAGACGCAGAAACAACTCTAGACACACTCAGCCACCTAATCTTTTACAAAGGAGCCAAACACCTTCACTGGAAGAAAGACAGCCTCTTTAATAAATGATGCTGAAAAACTGGCCTTCCACATGGCAAAGATTGAACTAGATCCATATCTTTCACCATGCACTAACCTAAAATCTAAATGGATCAAAGATAAAAATATTAAAATTGAAACACTAAATCTTCTGGAAAAGAAAACAGGTAAAAAGCTTGAGGGCATAGGAGTAGGCAAAGACTTTATGAACAAAACCCAGACTCTACAGGAAATACTACAAAGAATCAACATCTGAGATCCCATCTCATCAAAAAGCTTTTGCACAGCAAGAGAAATCACCCAACAGAATGAAGAGACAACCCACAGTGTGAGAAAATTATTTTCACCAGCTATTCATCAGACAAAGGAGATTTTTTTTTTTTTTTTTTGGTACTGGATATCGAACTCAGGTCCTTGCATTTGCAAGGCATGCAGCAGAACTGCTGAGCTAAATCCCCGGCCCAGACAAAGGAGAATTATCTAGGATATATAAAGAACTAAAAAAAAAAGTCAGAGCCCGTAAATTTAAATACCCAATCCAAAAATGGGCATCTGAAATGAATAGGCACTTCTCAGATTAAGAAGTAGAAATGGCAAATAAATATATGAAAAAACGCTCAGCATCACTGGCCATTTGTGAAATGCAAATTAAAACAATACTGAGATTCCGTCTCACTCTAGAAAGAATGGCTGCTATCAAAAAATAGCAAATGCTGGAGGGGCTGTGGAGAAAAAAAAACCCTGCTCCACTGCTGGTGGGAGTGCAGACTGATGCAACCACTGTGGAAATCAGTATGGAGATACTTCAAAGAACTAGGACTGGAAGTCCCATTTGACCCAGCTGTTCCTCTGCTGGGACTCTTCCCCAAAGAATTGAAAGCATCATACCACAGCAATATATGCGCACCTATGTTTATAGCGGCACAGTTTGTAATAGCTAAATCTCCCAACAGCCCGAGTGGCCATCCACTGGAGACTGGATAAAGAAAATGTGTTTTTTTTATATAATGAAGTACTACTCTGCCATACAGAAGGGTGAGCTTCAGACATTTATAGCTAATTGGATTCACCTGGAGAACATGTTCTTAAGTGAAATAAATCGGACACACGTGTGAATACTGCATTGTTTCTCTGGTGTGAGAAACGAAAAGTGGGAATAAGGACTGAAATGTATACTAGATATTGGGAAACGGGAAGAAAATGTTCAAATGGGGAGGAGAACAAGGGAGGGAGGAGAGAGAAAAGAAGGAAGGGACAAGAAAAAAGTGAAAATAGAAGGAAAAAGGAAAATAAAGCTTTTATACATAGGGAGGGGCCTGCGGGGAGGAGGGGAATGGGGAAAGGGGCGGAATGTACCAGGTACAGATGCAAATTAAAATAAAGTCTAATTTTAAAAAAAAGAAGAAAAACAAAACGAAGCAAAAGTAGCCATCCTTCTCCTTTCTGTCTATGGCCTTGAGTACTCTGGT